AAGCCCAAATCTTATCTTAGCAAAGAGAAGACATTAGACTTTAGTTCAGTTGTCATGCACTATATCAGGGCTATTTAATAGGAGGCCACATGTGGCATGTGAGGGGTTAATCTGTGGGCCCCCTGCATTCCCTGATCGCTGTTCCCTCATTGCTCCAGCTGCTACTGTAGCTTGGGTCTCTAGGTTTCCCATCCCTTCAATGGCTTTTCCTTCTTGGCCTCACCCCAAGGAAGGGCAAGGCAGCATGGCTCAGCCCAGTCTGCAGTGCTGGTGGAGCCCCTGACTTGGTGCAGTGGGGAAGCACATGACCAAGAGGTGAGGGGGGCCTGCCCACCCTCCTGTATGTCCGTTGCAGTGGGACTCTGGCTCCTGCTAGTGCAGCCCCATCCACTAAGAAGTTGGATAGTTCTGTACTATATGGAGAGTGTGTGTTTGCCTATATGATGTGTTTGTGCATCAGCTTATCACTCAGAGAGGGCAGAATTAATGTTATGTTAGCATGCACCTTAGCTCTTCTCCTGTTTTTAGAGATTTCACTGTCACTTATTTTAATAGTCTGGGACAGCAGAAAACCCTAAATCTGTGTAAACAAGGTATGTTGCTTTGGTCTCCTCTTTTCATAAATTTCCTTTCCTTCCTCCAAGGTATTGATCTGATCTTAGTCTTCCAGCCCTGCTTCTTGCCTTGCGGTTCTGAGCAAGATCCCTGTTCCAGTTGTCCTGCCCTTAACATATTTTTACCTAGTCTGGTTCTGTAAAGGGGGATGAGCTGTTTTTTGCTGAAATTTTTCGTTAAAATTTACCTTGTGTCAGATGCCCAGCATTGCCAAATTGTAAATGTTTTGGCTGAATTTTTCAGTTTGCAAGGAACCACTGTAATGGAAAGTATTGAGCCACCTTAACTATAGTGCTGCTAGTGTCAAATATGGTGAAATGTTTTTAACATAAATTTCAGTATTAGTTTTAGTTATCAATTTAATAGCTCAAAAGTGAAAGGGAAAACCTGCAACTTGCTGACTTCAGTGGTAGAATGTTAGCTTCCTGTATCACAGGGATTTAGGATATGTAAGATAGGTTTGCAAGTCCACCCTTGCAAGTTTGGTACAAAATATGGACCTGATCTACCTTCTCCCACTAAAGTCAGTGGTATGGCTGGCATTTATTGCAGTGGGGCTGGATAAGCATTTTTATGTTGAGACCACTTTAGCGTAATTAGTCTGTCATTTTATTATAAAAACCCTTCTCTCTAGCTATTGTGATGCCCCAGATGTTTGTTATCTAAGACCAGAACCTTTCAGTACGAAGAGGAGTTTTATCTGTCAATTCTAGTGGCTGCCGACTACTCTGCTTTAAACTAGTCTTTATTTACTTGAATCTACGACTACTTTAAGTTTAAAACAACCCCCAACACATGGAAAGTTATACATTTGTTATGCTTTTTCATGTACAGAATCTAATTATTGGAAGGTCACCTTAAATTCTTCCCCTGCACTGCTTCAGCAGGGAAAATGGTGGCGGGGGGGTGGGGATGGGCATGAGGGGTGGAGATAAGTGATGGAGGGAGCAGGCAGTTGGACCCATACCCCTTGCAGGCCTTCCTCTTCCCCATACTGATTGCCCCACCTGCTCCTTAGCCATTTTCCTCTTCCACCAGCTGCCCTTCCTGCTGTAGCTGGTGGAAATTCTGGCTTCAGCGATGGTCCGAGGCACCGAGCACATTGTGGCTCTGGCCCTGGCTAGGCAGTGTCAGCGGCTCTGGCCCTGGCTCCAGCCAGACAGTGGCCCTAGCCCTGGCAAATATCAGTGGTGGCAGCTCTGGTCCTGCCAGGGCAGGCAGCAGCAGTCGGCCCAGGCTCAGACCTAGGCCTGGTTTGAGGCCGTAAGCGGAGCCATAGCATATACCTGCCCCAGGCTGGTACTTGAATGCAAGATGAGGCTCCCCGTCCATGTTGAATGGAGAAAGAAACCTCATCCCGGATTAAAGTACATATGGTATCCTGTTACTGCAATACTCCACAAACTGTTACTGTTCTACAACAGGCAGAAATTTCCCATTTACCATCTGTAATTTGGTTTTCAGCAGTTCTTTATGCAGCTGAAGAACTGTGCTGTAAGAACAGCCTATTGGAAATCAACATAGCTCTTTAATTTGTTTCTACTTACATGTTTTTGTAGGTAGTTGAAGCAGAATCTGAGTTTTTAATAATGTAAGGTTCAATTGTTACTTTGCAGTCTACCCTGGGAAAGGAATAGTGTGCATCTTCCCTTCCTGCAGAGTTGACCAGAGACCACTGTAGCTGAGCTAGTTATTGTTTCTCCTCTTCTGTCCTTGCTTTGGAGGAGGAATAAATAGATTGTTGCTTCCCTGTTTCAGATACCATCTTTCCTAAGTCCCTATTTCTCTGCAAAGCTGAGTAAGGTGGGTAAAAAAGTGATAAAATTAATGGACTTGTGGTACGTATTCTTGTGAACCATGCTTCTTGAATCTGAAATAATTTTCAAAAGTATTTCCCAAGCTTTTGGACAAGAGAAAAAAGGAGTTTTTTAGACAGCAGTGTAATTTAAAGCCATTCTGTTTGCTCATCTGACCTGAAACATATAAAGACACCCAATATTTTTTTAGACTATACTGTAGTGGGATAAGAATAATTAGGTTGTCAGTCTAAAACATGGGATGAAAAGTATGACGTAGCTCAGTCAGTTATCGACTGTTGGAGCACTTTGATATAAAATAGATTAGCTTTAATCTTTTCAGCAAAGAAATAGGATAGCCTGCAGAAAGTGAGCTGTACATGCAGTTACTCCAGAATATTTTACACAATTTAACATTCCCTAGGAGTTACTTTTGAGAGACATGAAGAGTATGTTTATACCTCATGCTCACTGATTTATTTCTAGCGCTGAAACAGATCCAGCTTTGTAAGGAACTTGGAAACATTACTGCTGTAACAAATTCTGACTTGGTATTTATTAACGGTAGATTTTTTATCAGAACACTTAAGTTTAATCAACTGGTCAATGTCCATCTGACAAGTGATCCAGTGACTCTGGGCAAAATCCTGCTCATTTTATTCACACGGGTCTCAACCAAAGCAGCCAAATGTTTAACTTGATGTATGTGACACGCTACCTTTGTTGATGGGACAGTTCACTTAAAGCATGCATAGATGTATGTACAAAAAAGTCAATAGTTTATCCTAATAAATTTAGTGACAGAATTCGTTAGGCAAGCAAGATTTGTCATTTATGCTTTCATCCTGTATTCTGTCTACTATGGCTCTATACATGCAGAAGTCTTGCTTCAGGAACATCATTTTTCCAGGTAAACACTGCCAAAAGTGCATCTGTATCTGATTATGATATGTTCTCTAAGTTCTCTCTCAAATGCTTCTTTACAAATCTTCATGCAGCCATGACTGATATATAAAGCTATCTGAAACACTTTGCTGCATTACATAATACAGAAAAGCTCGTTATCCTCAGCTATTTAAAAATGAAACCTACTGCTACTACCACTTGATACAGCTTGACATCAGAGAGGTGACGGTGACATTGCATACAATGATCTATTTTTATCAGTAAATCTTAAACTTAGGAAATATATGATGAATAATAATCTTTATACGTACATAAAAGACTCATGAATGATGCATTAAGTGTAGAATTCTGCTCAGAAGTAAATCTAAAGTGGCAGCCATTAAAAGTGCAGGGTTTTTGTTTTTTTCCCTCTAACACTTTTTACATAATATGTAATGCATATTTCATGGATTTTGTTCAGAAATTTGTAAAATCTCATATATCCCTTTCTGTAGAAAGTTTGCTTACTAGTTGCGGGTGGGGAATATTAACTCACCTTCATGATGGCAAGTCCGATAAACATTCACATAATAAGGCAAGCATTTAGTTAAGAAATGAGTTTGCATTTCAAAGAGTTGCTACTAGGTATAACTTTTGTTTTGCTTTTAATCTTGTGACTTGCATAAGTAGAAGTTTAGGAGCAGGTGTTACCACTCGGAGGTATGACGACCTCAGCTGGATGCCCAGGGCAGCTGTCAAATGCAGGGGAAGTGGCAAGTTCCAGCTGCTGCGGCACAACCAGCATGAGTCCAATCGCGGCAGCAGCTGGGAGTTTTTCTTTTTTTTGGTTTCTTTCTCTCCCCCAAATTTGGCACCTGGGGTAGTTGCCTAGATGCCCCACTCACGTTAATAGTGGCATAAACATAGAATGTAAGTGTTAGTGATCTGACTGCATCTGTTGCAAGGACTTTTTATACCTGGACATTCAGTGGAAAAAGCCTGAAAATGTTTAGAATATGAGCTCTGCAGCAGTGTGCAGCCTGCTGAGGGGTGCAGATGGGGGCAATTCATAGGCACCTGGAGTGTGTGAAAAACCACTCCACAGCCACTGCTGCTGCTGCTCTCCTGACTCCAGAGATGTGGTGGTTATTAATGGTAGGTTAATATCTGATCCACTGGACAGATGCCATTCTGTCTGCTCCCACAGTTCTTTCTGTGGCAACTTTTAAGGAGTCTTCTATGCAGACTGAATCAAAGGCAAGTGAATACCTGCCCTGTCATTATATGTAGTGGAATCAAACCTGTTCCAGTATGTGCATGCTTTCCCCCTTTTTCCTGTACAAAAATCCAGACATAAGACTATATGAGGGTTCTTTAAGCTGGTTCAAGATGCAGATTATGCAAAACCTTTGAGGTTTCTAGAATGTTGCTTAAAAAAGCAAGTGAAACTTGCAAAGCAAAGGTGCAAAGAATCTGCCTAATTCATGGATTTACCTGTGTTCTGTGCAGTACTTTAATCTCTAAATATATATTATTCATGGAATTTTATAGTGAAATAAAGACTAATTTCCTGGTCTTCTTACACTACTTTCATCTTATTGAAATCACAATCTATAATAGTGGCTACCATCTGATCCAGCATCAGTGGATAAAATCATGACTTTCACTCAATAAAAATTGGGAATATTATAATTTTTAACCTACCTATAGATAATACATGCACTGTTCCTGCATGTGTCACAGTTAGCTGTGTCTTGCCCGGTCCGATACGAAAGCCTACAAAGATAAGAACATGAGGTCATTACACATGACTGTTGTAGCCTTGGTTTCTGTCCACTATTGTTGCTATTCATAGCAACCAAAAGTTCAGCGTTCTATTTCCATTTTAGTGTTGAGCATGAAAGCTAACTGTCTTTCAGAATATGCTTCCAGAATTAGTGTTTTTCACCACAGGTTTATAATATGAAGGTGAGGGGAATTTTGAAAAATACGAAGGAAGTGTATTTAATCATTAGAGGGGGGAATGCAATAATTCACATAAAGTCTACTTCTGTAGATGTTTCTGTAGAAAGCTTTAAGCAAACCAAATTATGTGAATGTCAGCTTTTAGACCGTGTTTTTGGTGCGCCCCAAATGCTGTCATAACTTCCAATTGACATGTTACTGTACAATTATTATAGACAGAGCAATTCTGCTTTTATGCTTTCCTACGCAGTCTTCTCAGAAACTTCTGTAAACCACAGAGACTCTGCTAGCAGTAGTTAGAATTGTATATTTCTGGAAGATATAAATGTGTACTTATTTGGGAATTTTGGCTGGAAGTGGACGAAGGATTGTTGAAGAATGACCCGTCTTAAAAAAACCCAAGAAAATACAGCATTTGTACTTCTCTTACTTGTCTACTCTCTATATTACATTGTTGTGAAGGGCTTGGGAGACTTTTCTGAAAGTGCTTCTCATACCAGGGACAAAGTGCATTACATTTATAGGAGTAGGATTTCTGTTTGATTTGAATGGGTAAACACTTTAGTGATCATTTGTATTGACAGGTGCCCCACCCCCACATGGGCAGAAAATCTTTTAAAATAAACTCCACTGTTTGTTTTTAATACAATATTCTGCGTCATGAAAAGTATTTTTTCTACATGGAAAATGAATTTTAAACTGGAAAATAACCCCACCTTTTTCAGTTCCAATTGTATTTTATAGTAGTAATATGTTTAAGCACGAGTTGTGCAGCTTTTCCTCAAAGTAGCTGAAGTAAAGGTAAATTTTCAGACTGCCAATAGCTTTTTTTTTTCCTTTAAATGTCACTTTGAAATCTTTTTAATTTAATAATTTCCCTTACCTTGTTTTATATGGTAATACCAGGAATGATTAAATTAACTGATATTTAATTCATACAGTAAATTTTTTGTAAGAAACTATTTACTAATTACTAGAGTTTGCCTTTCCTCTCACCGATAGGCAAAAGTAAAGAAACCTGAATGGAAAATACTGTGCCATAGGATATACCTCAGTGACACAATGCAGTGTCATAGAGAGGCTGCAGACCTAGTTTGGATATCCTAAACGGTATACCTGCATTAATGTGGTTCTCCATATGGCCCAGTTAGGTCTTCTGAATTTTAACTTGGCTGGAGTGCTGTGCAGATGTGGCCATGCAGTAGTTAATGTATTTGTGCTCAGCCTAATGTTGTGCTGTGTGTGGACATAATTTTTGTTTACTTAAATTAAAACTTTAATACCATATTGTGCTTCAAAAGGCTCAACTAGTATAATATAAAACATTAATGTAGAACATATTGCTCAAGTTATTCCATAGACCTAATTCTGAACCGGTAAATAACTATTACTTAACAGTTCAGAAATCTTCATTAATGTTGGTAAATACGTAGTGATATTTGAAAGTTGGGAATTCTCACAATTGCCGAACTCTTCCATTCCTGAACTTTCTTTGCTGTTTTCTTTCTCAGAACAGTTTATCCTATCTGTCACCGGTCTCAGGCTTTCCTATTTCTTCTTGGTTTGTGTATTTAATTAACTGAACTACATAGATGTTATTTTCCTAGAACAAAATTAATTAATAGGATTTTTTTGTTGTGGTTTAATTTTTCCTAATCAGTTCGTGTGAACTAGTAGCAGAGAACAGACGAAAGAATTAGGAGTGCTTGCAGACATAACCCCCACTCCCCCCCCAGTGGCACTTTATACTTGGTGCATTCCCGTACTGATCCCTGTGCATGCCTAGAAAAGGCAGTGCATTACTTCAACCTGGCTTACCCAATATCTGTAAAGATCAGGCACTTTAGTAGGGCTTTTTTGGCACTTTTATCAAATAGCTGATTGAATCAGCTTTAGCTAAAAGCGCCAAAAACCCTGCTGAAGCGCCTGATCTTGACAGAGGCTGCAGATCTGGGTCAAAGTAACACGCTGCTGCTGGTTCTAGTAACATGTGTTTTTTTTGTTTTGTTTTAAATGTCTACAAGCAGCCTATCCTTGGCTTTGACTTAACTACTTAGTTTGTTAGCTATTTGGTGCACAACCTATCCCAGCAGGATCTGAGGCCATGCCTTGTGCTATTATGTGCTGTGGTAATGGTAACAATAACAGGGCAAGTCGCAGCTTGTTTTTATCTATAAGCTAGGGACAATTTCTTGTATATAATTTTTAAAGCACTTCAGAGACAGCAGTGTGAAAAGAATTGTATTAAGTGCTAAGTAGTATTAGTAATACCCACTCTTCATGGATAAGAACATTTTAAATCTTAAGTTTAAATCTTCTGGGTTCAAAATTTAGCAACAGAACTGGACTTTTGGAAAAGTTATTTTTCTTCATAGGATAGTTAAGTGTATTCTGGTAGTTTTGCTTTCAGGGAAACTGCTGTTTTTTACTGGTAATTAATTGAATGTTTGCCTGTTGTCTGCTAGTGGGATGGCTCAATATCTTTCTCTCATGACATGTAAGTTTTCTAACATTAGAAACAAGAGTCTCCTAAATGAAGAGTTAGGATATATTTAGTCTTCCATCCAAGAGATTGTGTAGTAACATTTCACAGTACAAGTACATCATAAATAGCTGTACTACTGAATTGGTAAAGGTTTTATTTGCACTGGCTCATATGTGATAGCTGCTGTGACATAGTTCAGAAAGTAGGCAGCATTGTTGTCTGAATATAGACTTCACTCAAAGATGAATATTTGCCAGATTTTGGCTGGACATGTACACTAATCCTGTAGTTCCCAAACTTTCTGATTTGAGCCCCAAAGTACCTGTATCAAACTTCTTCGAAGTTTTTAATTAAAGGCATATAGAGCAAGGTCTGATCTGCAGACCTCTTACCATTTAGCATTTCAGCAGAAGGAGAGCCCTTAATGAAGCACTATATAATCAATATTGTACCCAAGTGGCAGTATTCTTTTTCTCTCCTTTCCATCATCACCAGCCCCAATTGGTCAGGAGTCAGCAGCCTTTGGTCACTAGACTGGATCCACCCTGCAAAGAGGTCCTGCCTGTCTTGGGATCGTCCAGCTGTGCAGAACTGCACTGAGCTGCTTCTCCCCTCCATGGCACCCTTCTCCTTTCTCATACTTGCACTTAGCTTGCTGCGGGGGGGCTGGTTATCTGCAGTGAGGGTTAAATGCAAGTGTCTAGAACTCTTAGCAGGGTGTGGAAACTTGCAGGCCACACACAGCAAGAGGTCAGGTTGCAAACTCTGGGTCATGGGGCAAAGGTTGCCAATTTCTATTCTACATAGTCAATGAGAAATTATTGCTAAAATGGCATAGTCATTTATGCCAAATTGCTGAAACCTTGAGAAAATTATCTTACAGAAAAAGTAAAGGTTACACACTATGTGTAGTAATACAGGGTACTGTATCTATAAAAGGATAAGTTAGCTGCTGTTGCAACCATAAGTTTGAAATGATTATCACTATTAATTACAATCTCAATTTTATTAATTGTTTTTGGGGTTTTATTTTTTGTTAAGACTCTCTTACATCTTTGTTTGAACAATTCCTTATGAAACTGGCTAATTTCTAGTAACTTGGCAGTTTAGGGACTGGTTTATCCCTTACAGGAGAGGAGGGGTGGGCAATTATTTCGGCTGAAGGGCTGCTTAATGAATTTTGGTGAGCAGTTGAGGACCACAACAGTAGCCCTAACCCTTGACAGGTGCCCCACCCCCTGGTTGCCATCTTTGGACTGGAAGTCCCACCCATTAATCCCTAACCTTTGCCATCGGAAGTCCTGCGCCTTACCAGAAGTACTCCTTTGGGGAGGGGGTTGCCATCTTGGAACCAGAAAAAAAAGTAATCATATACTAAAAGTCAAATATCTACCATAAAGTATTTTAATTTTATTTCAAAATATATTTTTGTTGGGATTATGTGCATTTGTATAATGTATATGGCGGTGATTGCATAATAGCTCAAAATGAAGTCTTACTCTTATATATTGTGGGGAGTGTGTGGAGTGCAGTTGGAGGGGTGGGTGTGTATGATGGGGTATGGATATGGGTGGAGGGGTTTGTGAGGGGGCGTGGCTGTGTTTGGGGGATGTAGGGCATGTTGGCGATGTAGGGGGTTGTATATACGAGTGGTTTGTGTGGGGGGTGTGAGCAGGGTGTGGGTGGGGTTTGTGGGGTGAGGGAGAGCAGGGGGGTGTGGGGAACCCCCCATTTGGTTCCCTCATGGTGCACAGCCCCCACTGCTGACAGTGGCAGCAGCTGCAGGTGGTGGGTCCTTAGGGTATCTGTGGCATGTGCAGGCAGTATGTCTCTGGCTAGTTCTGGGAGCTGCACATGGCAGCGAGGAGTGGACCCAGGCTATCACGCCTCTATTATGCAGGGCTTACCTGCAGCTCCCGGCACTCACGCACCATGGGGGGGGAGCCCTGCATGATGCAGCTGGCTGCCTTCCCTGATCCCGGCCACCACATGCAGCTCACGGGACTCTGCTGTGTAAAACCACTGGTGGCCAGGTCATGTGTTAGTGTATTCTGACTGGTTCCCCTTCCCACTGTCCTGAATTCTGATTTCTTCTGCTCTTGGTCTCTCATAATTAGAAAGTGGTTAGAAGCCAGAAAGTTTTCTTTGTGGGGAAAAAGGGGAAAAGAATGATGAGATGTGGTAACACTTCCGGGGAAGGGAGGGAATGGACTTGAACATACTTTTTGTCTATCAGTTTAGAGCACTGGGCACATACTTGCAGTATTATGGTGTTCAAAGAAATGTAATGGCACAAAGTATTGAAGCTCTTCAAGGAGAATTCATG